TTTCTTCCTTTCTTCCTTCTGTAGAACACAAAAACAAAAGATACAGAACGTTGTGGTCCAATCAACATTGGGCCCCATTGCCTTTTTTTTGTCTTTTTTTTTGGTTCCAAAGAAAGAAAGTCATACATGTTTGGAATGACATGAGGTTGAGTAAATTATGACATTTTCATTTCTGCATGAATTATCCCTTTAAACCTACAGAAATTAAGATATTTGTGCCCTTACAAAAATTAACCATGGTTTTACTACAAAAAAAACAAAAAAAAAACATGGTTACTATAGTTAAACCATGGTAAACACAAATTACCCATGGTTTTGCAACACTAACCATAGTTTAACCATGGTATTTGTAGTAAAACTGTGGCTATACAAATGGCAGTCAATACGCCAAAAAACCATGGTTACTACAATTTTACTATAATAAAACCATGGTTAATTTTCGTAAATTCACACAGCTGCAGAATACATTTGTCTTTTCTTTAGTTTACACGCAATTCAGTTTTGAATGAGAATGAAACTAGATTCTAAGTGACTGCATTTACCAAAACAAGAACAAGAACAATATTACATTCATAAACAGTAAAATACATTGCCATTCATGGATATAGTTAAGATGGTTGATTATAAAAGAGTGTAAGGATTCTTTGCCTATTGTGCTTTTATACGAAAAATATCTGAGGTTACCTTCACACAACAGAAAAAATATTTTATAATGGTTATTCCTATTTGAAATGCTAATCAATTTTGACAGAAAGTGCAACCGTAATCTATAACCAGATTACAGCACAACAATACGTTTAGTGCTACAGTTCTGTTCACACTCAGTTCAGTTATAGAAAAAAACGAAGGATTAAAGGAAAAACATATCCCAAAATCCGTAAAACAATACTGCAACTTCTTTGTTTACCTGAACTTTTATTCCCACAGGAACACGAAGTGGCTCCAGTTCCCCGAGTCGCTTGCTCAGAACTACAATGAGCCAGTAAATCAGGGCGTCTAGACTGATAAACACCAGCCAGGTGAGACAGTGAGTTAATATGGGAAGACTGAACTTGATCATGGCTTTCCACCGCCGACCCGTCGGACGAATGGACGGAGTCACTACGTAAAGTTCCGATTCGCTTTTGGTCAGCGGAAGGACACACGGTTTTCCCTTTTCCCTTTGCCGCTCATCAAAACAACGGAAAGTTTTCGTGATGTATTGGTTGTTGTACCTTTTGTCTACGTGGAATCTTCTCAGGTATAGAGCAGTGAGGAGTACAAGAAGTAAAAGACCTAATGTTGGAGACAATATCTTTCCTATTGAAGACAAAGCGTTGGTCAGTGCTAACACATTTTGCGCGGTCTGGTTTAAAAACTGTTCTGCCTCGGTGAGGTAAATTTTGAAGTCTTGCGAGTCCACCTTTGCTTTTAGTTTGAAATCTGCATGGTAACTCCCCAACTGAAAGTTTCTAAAGCAATTTTTAAGTTGCTTTCCCACCCACTTCAGCATTTTAATATAATTCCCGAGGGGTTCTGTATTAATATCCAATAACTTTTCCTCCAAGTTGCAGAGGAGGCCTTTTGCAAGGAGTCTCATGTTCCGCAACGTGTTCTGGATGTTGAAGAAAATCACTGAACTGGTTCCTAAAGTGAGAAGAAGTCTCTTCACTTGTTTCACACCCATTGAGATCAAAATCAAGGCTCCAAAACAACGAATCCTTTCTGAGAAATACATGGCTGGTGTTAAGCTTATACAAAAAACACAAGTAAAGGGAAGCGAGACCTCCTGAACACATTTGAAGGAAAAGTGGAGGATGAGAAAGAGGAAGGTGCTCAGAATAAGGCTGGTGGTAAAACAGGTCAACAGGAGGAGAAGTTTTTCCTTCCAGCTTTTTGTGGTGTTGGTCGTGTAGAGACCACATATTCTGGACCAGACCCGTCGTAGTCCTTCTGCCAGTTGATGCAGTTTAGCTTGAATCATCATCGTCCCACTAACCTGAAATTACAGGAACAAAGATTTTAAAATCGTTAATGGTTTCATAACTAAATTATTAATTAGCCCTAGAATTTCTGCATTATTTTGATCTATAGTGGCCCCAAAACATACTGTATTTAGACACTTAAGCCACACTTAAAAAAAAACTGAATAGCATTTCATTAGATGACAAAATATCAAATCAAGTGACTTCTTTTGTAATACAGCAGCACAAGCATATAAGTAAAACCTTTAACAAAAATAAATTTGTTGGGTTTTAGATGATAAAACAATAGATATATTGTTCTATTTGAACATTTTATGGTTTAAACAGCATGATGAGACTAAGTTCAATTGCAATAAATGGCTCAAAAAAGTGAATTCCGTTTTTGCAGATGTCACGTGGTTATTTTGTTAACTAATTCAATGACATTCAGACATTTGTCAGCGTGGCTTAAGTTATATAACACCAATAGTGCTGTCAAATGATTAATCGCAATTAATTGCATCCAAAATAAAAGTTTTTGTTTACATAATATATGTATGTGTACTGTGTTTATTATGTATATATAAATACACACACATACAGTATATATATATATATGAAAATATTCGCATGTATATACATTCATATTATTATATTTTATATTATATAGAAATATATTTAATATATAAACATAGCATATTTTTCTTAAATATATGCATGCGTTTGTATTTATATATACATAATAAATATACACAGTACACACTCATATATTATGTAAACAAAAACTTTTTTGGATGTGATTAATCATTTGACAGCACTAAACACCAAAACTTAAATTTGATATTATACTGACTAAAGCAGCAATGAATCTGTTAATACAATTTAGTCTATCTTACAATGCTACATTTGATTTTGTGATGACTTAAAACACCCTATCTTCTGATTTGAACAGTCATGCAGGTATTTCACAGTTAACCTATTTTTCAATGTTTAACCTACCTTTTATTTGTCAGCAGTCTTGTCAGCTCACGAGTGTGTTGTGACAGTCCAGCATTCATCTTTTTAAAGTAAAACAAGAGGAAGCTGATTTTATCCCTCAGTTGTTCACTTCCTTTTTAGCCATCATCTCAGCACTTACTCATTACCACAGAAAAGCACTGACAAAATCCCCCTCATGATTAATGTGTTTTCAGGAAAAAAAACCCAATGTCATTTAGTTGTTTGTGGAAAGCTGCATGCTCGCTTTCTAAGTATCTTGATCATTTTGATAACATAGGAAAACAAAACAAATTTCCCTAGGACAAAATTATAGAACTATTTACAATACAATAACTGAAGAAAAAACTTAAATGTATTGTTATTATTACACTTCTGAAACTAATACATTTATATGTATATGTTTGTATACACACTGTACATTACCAATTACCATTGACATATATGCTACAAGACATAATGAAGAGTTTTTCCTTTTTCTCAAATAATTTTTTTTCTATTCACTTTTTAAGTTAAGCTAAAGCTGTATGCATGTGTATGAGTGTGTGTACTTTGTTTTTCATGTCATGCCAAGAAACATTAGAGACGTATTGCTTTTGTTTGCGAATGCTCG